GTATGTAATGTATGTAATGTATGTAATGTATGTAATGTATGTCATGTATGTCATGTATGTCATGTATGTCATGTATGTCATGTATGTCATGTATGTCATGTATGTCATGTATGTCATGTATGTCATGTTTGTATGTATGTAATGTAATGGAATGTAATGGAATGTAATGCAATGTAATGTATGTATGTATGTATGTAATGTATGTAATGTATGTAAATGTATGTAATGTATGTAATGTATGTAATGTATGTAATGTATGTAATGTATGTAATGTATGTAATGTATGTAATGTATGTAATGTATGTAATGTATGTAATGTATGTCATGTATGTCATGTAATGTAATGGAATGTAATGGAATGTAATGCAATGTAATGTAATGTATGTATGTATGTAATGTATGTAATGTATGTAATGTATGTTATGTATGTATGTATGTCTGTATGTCTGTATGTCTGTATGTCTGTATATACATATATATATATATATATTATATATATATCACTGTTTATATCTATTTAAGTGAACACAATCATGTTTGTGGAAGCACTTGTGATCCCTGGGATGTGCACCCAAATATACCTGGGGTTTCACAAGGTGCGCATGGGCCATCCTAGCGATGATTTGGACATGAAAGGACATACTTTCAAACCACCCAGCCATATCAGCCAATGTTTCTTAGAAGGAACAAATTCACCTCATGCCTGTGTTGCTAGGGGTTGTATTCGTTGATTATTTTGGCTAAGGGATTAGATCGTGTTTGAAGCTTGGCCATGGGCTTGCGAGTCCCAGTCCTTTTCAATATGTTGGGCAGTGACCAGCTCGGCTTATTATCCAATCATTCCCACAAAGAATGGGATGCACATCCAAGCATGGCCGCGTTTACATGTACTTGTGCAGTCTCTGTTTTTCCAAATTCCACTCTTGGTGGGGTACTAAACACAACCTGATATTTGCATAGCGATTAAATCTCCATCAGGTTACGCAATAAAACCTTACAGGCATCAGGGATCCTCAGATATGTCCCATGCTCTCCATTTTCTACAGAGTTCAAGATCACCTAGCATGCTTCTGAAATAGTGGTGAGCCCCGGAAATTGGTTGACGTTTACAAAACAAAACTGAGCAAACATATTGCGAATGAAATTGATATGTTGAAGCACCAACACTGTATGCCAGAGTCAACCCCCCTTGTTTGTTGGTTAAACCTCCATGTATGCTGCCAAAACAAGATTCCATGTTTCTGTTGGTCGCTTGCCCATTTTGGGCAAGCCAATAGGGCGCTTTGCCCTGCTTACACTTAGAAATCCAGTAAATAAGCCCGTAAGGGGTTGTGTTAGAAATAGGGTACCTCAAAATCCAGTTGCTTAGAAGATAATCTTCGGGGGGTAAAATTGCCATCAATTGGGGATATATGTTTTTCCCGTCTTGAAATTAGCTTATGTCCCAGGTAATATGTCCGATAAAATCAAATACCCTCATAAATTAGTTGGTCTTGTACCCCTCATTTGTTTCCTGCAGCGATGTTTCTTTGTTTTTTCATTTTATATACATTGCCATTCCATTAGGGTGATTTCCATTCATGCCTATTGCCCTTATTCATGGGTTATATACATCAAATTTAATTTTGTGTTGGCTGAATCAAACCATCAAGTTGATTGCTCAATTCCTCATGTTCAACAAAAAAGTTGTGTCATATTGTCCTTTGTGCCAATACCGATTATTATATACATACGTTCCCATGTGATATCCTGATTATCTGATTATGGTTTGGTTTCCCCACAATATCCCATTGTATTCCCATAAAATCATCATTTTGTCTCATAAAAAAGTCAGAAAATCCGATCATACCCGTGCGATTTTCCCTTTCTATCGGCCTCACGGCAGGAATGCCTGGAAGGAAAACGCGTGGATCCAAGTCCACCCACCATGGAGGCAGCGCTGATATAATACATGATACCTACATCTCATTCAAGACGTATGTATATATATATATATATAGTTATTAATATAGCTTGATATGTTTTTGATTGCTGTGTTTCTGCTGTTTACATGGTATATATATATATAAATATATATATATACATAGATATGCATATACCTATGTTGACGTGTTGACATACATGCATGTATTCTATCTATCTGTTTGTTTGTCCGTCTTTCTATTGTTCTATCTATCTATCTATCTAACTAACTATCTATCTATCTATCTATCTATCTGTCTTTATTATACATGGGTTTTGTTACTTGTATCATTGCAATATATTGCGATAACACGTGTCCTACATACCTACCTACCTACCTACCTACCTACCTACCTACCTACCTACCTACCTGCATACCTGCATACCTGCATACCTGCATACGTGCCTAATTACATACCTACATACCTGCATGCATGCATGCATACATACATACATACATACATACATACATACATACATACATACATACGTAGACATACTTCTGCATATGTATGTACATCATGATGCGCATATTTGTATTTATACATATATATATGCATATACATATACATATGTATGTGTATATATATATGTGGGATATCCTCTTCTGATGTTTTTGAATTTTGTGTTGTATATACAAAGGCATAAACATGTACTTGCATATGGGCATGGGAGATGTCCCCAAACAAATGACTATTTGGTTTGTGATTTCTTGCCACGGATGTCCTTTTCCCTGGTTGGTTGCTTAGTGAACGGTCACTGCTTGAAGAAACAAACTTCAATACGTGGTATACCAACTTGGCTCACATGTTGCCCAGATGACGAACAAATGGTTGACTTGTTTTTCATACCCACCCATCCAATCAATATTGTGATGTGCATTCCAACTCATGCTGGTCAAGCATCATAGTTGCGCTCCACTGATAGTGTGTAATTCAAACATATTCACAACATGAACTTGCATAGTTCAGTAATGTTCAGTACAAAGACGAGGAAAAAACCAACGGATCCCTTTGATATCCCATTCTCCACTTGTAACCAACTCACCCTAGGACCAGAAACTTATCACTTTGAGAGGCAGCTGGCATGCTGGATGGCCATGGCCCAACATATCCATATGTGCACATAGCCATTTATGCACGTGTGACCGATGATAAAGAGGAGTATACTCAAATGATTTCTTTGTGATGGCATTTGTTTTTAGATTATTTTTTTTGTACATCATACAATCATATATACATATATAATTTATATTTATATTATATATATATGTATGTATATACATATTTACATAATATACATTTTGTATAGTTTTGCGTGTAGTGTATGTATACGTATATACATATGTAGATACGGGTCATGTCATATCATATCACATAATATCATATAACCTGTATACGCACATTTAAATTAACACATGTCTCCCAAATGAAGCGCGTTTGTTTGCTGAGAGAGGCCTACACCACGTCCCTAGATGCATCTTCCTCGCCAGCAGATTTTGAGGTGCAGTGAGGGCGCTAGAAGATCAGTTTTGAGAACTAGGTGAGGGCAGGCTAGTGGATTGACTTTTGAGTTCTTAAGTCTTAAAAGTGTATAGTAGCTCGTGGATTCTTTGTGTACAGATTTTACAGGATATCACAGACTTGGCTTATGGTGTGTTTGTCTGAGAATGGTGCATGTATCATCATTTATCCCTCCAATCACAACCATTTTAACGAGACAAATTCCTGGGGCCGGTCAAAGTTCCCTAGTCATATTTGAAGGTTTATCACATCTGTGGCCGCCATGTAAATGTAATTCTGAGGTAAATTGGTGAATAGACCGAATTGACCAACACCATTGACCGCAATTGGATCAACAACATAACCATACTGTGGGTATACTGTAGATATACCCAATACCAATCTCTTCATTGACAACCCACTCTGTGCAACTTTGGACCGATTAGAAGCATTTTGCAAATCTTTGCTTGATTGCGGGAAAAGACAGGGGTCAAAAGATCGAAAGATGTGTGTAGGATGTCATAGAAACACAAGTTTTTAACTTATCATTTCAAGGTATCCTACTGTTCTGATATTGTCAGTTTTTTTGGGGAGGGATTAGACATGATTAAACGCACATGTTTGTATACCAATGTGGACCCGTACCCAGCACATCCCATTACATATTCGATCATATTCATACATGTATGTTTGTATATTTCCAAGTTTGTTCTGTTCCGTCTTCCTGCACTATGGATTGAAGTTCTCAGTGCCAGTGGAGTGTTTGACCAGACCCAACAGGATTGAAAGTAGACACCTGGTATCCTGATTAGTATGATTAGTGTCTTTAGGTCCACTTTAGGTGTCATCACATCTTTGCTCCTCGTTTCTTGAGTATGTCCCTTTGTTTGTTGCCTACTCTTATTTTTGTTGCTGAGATACCAACTTCATCCAGATCATCCATCACATATTGGTGAATTCCCTATGTTGTCCCACGTCTGGTTCTTCCTCAAATTCCTTGTTTTGTAATGGTTATATCTTAGCTCGCCCCCTCCATTTGGAGGTTTTTTAATGTTGAAAAGGTTACCCCCAAAATCCACTGATTTCAAGTTGGCCTCATCGAATTTCAACATTGCTGGTTGATGCTGCTTGGTGGCTTGGAACATTTTTTCATTTTCCATTTCATATATGGGATGTCATCCTTCCCATTGACGAACTCATATTTTTCAGAGGGGTGGCTCAACCACCAACCAGATTGAATTCAAGATCAAGGCCTATTAAGGCCTCATTCGTTTCACCTGTTTTTGATCGCCATGGGCCATCGATGGCCATCATCCCTCAGGTTCTCCTGATGCTCATCGCCTTGCTCTTCGTGCGGCCAGTCCCAAGTTCTGGCAGCGCCGGCAGGTAGCGATGTTGATGGGGGGAACTTGTATGTGTTGATAAACGCACAGTGTACAATTAAATATAGATATATCTATAGATGGATAGATAGATAGATAGATTGATTGATTGATTAGATTGATTAGATAGATAGATAGATAGATAGATAGATAGATAGATAGATAGATAGATAGATAGATAGACGATAGATAGACGATAGATAGATAGATAGATAGATAGATAGATTGATTGATTGATAGATTAGATAGAAGATAGATAGATAGATAGATAGATAGATACTAGATAGATAGATACATAGATTAGATAGATAGATAGATAGCATAGATAGATAGATAGATAGATAGATAGATACATAGATAGATAGATACATAGATAGATACATAGATACTGTATAGATAGATACTGTAGATAGATAGATACTGTAGATAGATAGATACTGTAGATAGATAGATACTGTAGATAGATAGATAGATAGATAGATAGATAGGTAGGTAGGTAGATAGATCGATAGATAAAAAGTTGTATACATGTACACACACATTACCTCATATCCTGCTAGAAAATTGTTCTTTTGCAGGGTAGTTAGCTTTAAGTGTGGCTAGGAGTGGATAGCCGAGGAATTGCAAGCTGCTAGTGACCCTTCTGATGATACCAATACGGATAGTAGCCATTCCTGGGGTGACAGCCCATTGATACGCGGGAACAGTCGCCATGCTCCAAGAGGTACGTGGCACGATCTTCTGTCAAATGGCTATGGATCAATCAATTCGGGTCAAAAACATTGACATATTGATCATTACAGTATTGGCTAGTTATTTGGGTCATTATGGACCATAAGTATTTGTTTGACCATGTTTGACCCAAATGGATTGATTCAGAACCATATTATTTATTGTGCAAGAGCATGAGGAGTCCGATATGAATATGTCATGACTGGGGGCCGGTTCGATGGGGTTGCCGATTGACGCAGTTATTGTGAGTCAGTCATCAGTGGCGCCTGCCTCATCGTTTCTGATGGAAGCCGATGTTGATCTTTTTTTGGTGGATCATCCCACTTAGCAAGTAGGCCATAAGCCGGATTATAAGTGGATTAACCCAACTGATCCCACGAACATAACCAGGGTTACAACCCACTAAGCAGGATGATCCGCCAAGGGATCTCGTTTGTGCTGCAAACATCGCAGGTTGAGCTTGGTGAAGCTGGGCCTTTTAGCGTGGCGTTTGGCCGAAGATCGCGATCCCCAGAGTGCCTTGGTTATGCGCGGAGCCTGCGGCTACTGATGACTGAGTTGGGTGAAAAACCTTGGTTGATTGGTATTTTAACGATTTGTTTCTTTGGTTTGTAAACATCAAGACCCTCGTTTAATGGGATTATATGGAGTTATAGGATCTTAAGTCTTAGGGGTTTTATGGTGGATTTAAGCAGCAAAATATGGGGATGTAGATGTTGATTGAATGATCGTTTGTCCAGGGTTGTACTACCCTTTACTACTGTATATTATATGTTGGGGGTTGTAAGAGTCCATGACTTGTTGATATTTGGTGGTTTCAAATTCATAGTCTTATTTTCCAGCCGAAAAATGGGGAGGATGACCCCAACGTTTGTTTGAACATCGAGAGGACAATTGGGGGTGGTTGGGACGGTATTTGCGATGGTTTATACATTATGTGGAGAACCACCCTAAAATGGACCCACCTTTCAGGAATATGATTTGCTCATGTATAATCATGTATATATACGTAGTATATGTATACATACAGCTATAGGTCTAAAAGTATTATGTATGTACAGCGTATGTATGTATACGGGGCGAACATCCAGAACTACTACCTATTTCAATGGGAAAACTAAGGTACCGTGGTGCTGACCCATGTACGCACATGACCAAAAAATAGGGATCCAACCCACACAGAACGGGATGAGTTTATCCCAGGCGCATGATTAAGCAATACAAAAACCTTTGGGACAACTTCAAATCAGATTGGTGGCTACATAAACATATATATATACACATACACATATGTATATATATATATACATACTGTACATATTACATACAAATATACATATATATATATAATATCCCATATTATTATCCCATAGGTATCCGTAGGCAATATTCCATGAGAAACCCCATTAATGGGGATATCAAACCACTGGAGCATCGACACTCTGGCTTGAGCGAAGTCTGAAACTAGCTAACTAGTGTCAGGTGAACGATAGTATATATATATATATATATTATAATATATATATATATATATATACAATGAATTCTATGGTCCTATGGTCACAGGTAAAGTCTTGGACATGAATAAATGAGGTTAGATTATGGCAGATCATATCGGACAATTCAACTTGTTTGCAGGATAAAGTTGGCTGCGGGGATTTGACCATGGGTGCTTGATGTCAACACTACTTCGTTGGGCGAATCCTCAACGGTGATCTGGTTGGTGTTTTGGAACATGGCTTTTATTGTTCCATATATTGGGAAGAATATCCCAACTGACTCATTTTTTCAGAGGGGTAGGTCAAGCACCAACCAGTGATTACTCCTCTCCCCTGATAGAAAGCCTGTGCAGCACGGAAGTTCGTTGTTTTGGGTGTCCCAGGGTGGAGCGTGTTGGAAGCATTGTATCACCCAACGAAACATAGGAAAACAAAGTGATACTGATGATCTTTGCCTGAAGCAAAGCAATTCGGTTCAATATTATTCAAAAACGGTTGCTTTCATTGTCTTGAGGTTTAGGTAAATGTACAGTAGTTAGTTTTAGTTCATCTTAGTTTGGTTGATTCCCAACTTGTCATGTTAACATGTCATGGTTTGCCGCTTTCAAGGCCAACCGAACCGCCGAACCGCTTAGCTCCGCTCGGCTCGTAGGTCAATTCCAGCGGCGAGTGCAAAGTGCGGTGACCGGCAACCATCCGTCACTGGGTGCAGATACACCGGAGTACATCAATCAGATCATCATTTGATATTACAGGTTATAAGTTATAATCATTATATATTGAGTACTCGTTTATGATGATTCTTTTGATAGTATACAATAATACTCATTGAATATTCTTGATATTTATCCACCATTGATTACAATATTTGAATGGCTATGCGGCCGTCCAACTCACCTGTGTTTCCGCCTGTGGCGGATATGGAGATGTTCGCACATATGGTGGTACCCCAAAACAATTGCTTTTCCAGTTTTCCAAAAAAAACACATAAAAGTAGCAGCTCCAATTTCGGAAAAGCAATTTTGGGGTAAATTTTGGATAACAATTTTAAAACCACTGGTACCTAATATAACTTGGGGTAGCTCCAATTTCCCCGTCTTCGGGTGCACCTCATTGAGATCCGAGGTACACGTGGCTACCGAGTCTGTGGAGGATTTTGCGGTTGAACTTCAAAACGGCTGCGCAGGAGCGGTGGAACATGGTGGAACTTGGGACTCGGACTGGTCACAACAGGCATCATCTGGGTTAAAATGTTTAAGTTATCACATGTATTAATAATTTTTGATATATGTCTATATATACTATCATAGATTACCCTCTGGCAATCAGACATGGCAATGAAAAATTGATTTTCCCAGCGACGAAGCTCCATTTAGAGAACAGTTTCCAGCTAGCCATGTTTGATTACCAGAGGGTAAAACATGAAACTTTGCTCCATAGTCCTGAGTCAATTCCAGCTAGCTTTCCTCAGATGATGGATCCTCCCCTGGGTCTTTTCCCGAATGTATACCGATGATCATTACTCCATTATCATTGGGCAAAAGGTTATTTATCATCATGTGGATTTTGAAACACACATAATCATTTTAAGATATTATAAGTTATATATAAGTATAATGATAGTATGTTGTTTACCATTGGACTTTATTTGATTGGCGCTTTCAAATACATATGTTTCATGATTTTTGGACGATCATCCCAATGGACTAGGTTGAGACCAAAAGCCAGTAATCATTTCCCACCAATATGACATTTCGCCATATGGCCCACAAAATGAATCAATCCAAGAATCAATAAACCAAGGATTGTGGGTGATATGTTATTTGCTTTACAATACATGACGGGGATGGGGATTACTATACCTTTGACGTACTGAAAATGCTGATTTCATTACTGGTCTTATCATAATTCATAGTGTACAAGACATGCTTGTGTCTGGAAATGGGGTACTTGGTATACCCTCCAAATGGCAGTGTCTTCTTTGGGGGAACTCATGTAAAAGGAACATTGAATTTGGGGGCGTATTCTATGTTCAGACAAAGCCATAATTTCTTGAACATTGTGATTTTATGTTTATCAGTAGTAGGTGTATTATCTTCATTCCATCATATTGTAAGATATATACTGTGGATGGGAAACATATTGCACCAGTTGGTAGATGGTTTATCCCATTATAATCCCATGATTTACAATGTTTTTAGTTCCCAATAGTTTCCAACTGGTTCAGGCAGGATTTCGCAACCATCCACAGTATTATTAATCATATATATATATATATATTTATATACGTATATGCTCATGACTTTTTCATAATATATATATATTATGAATAATAAATAATAATATTATTTCAATGACATGACATACTATATTTTTTTTATGATGATTATTGTTGTCATATCACTACAATCATCGTTACATTTTGAATAAGTTGCCTAGATCCTGGAGCCTGTCTGAACCTGCCCGAACCTGTCAGATCTTCAATCAGCGCGCCAGCCAGCCGCGGGAGTGGACTTTCGTGGTGGCTGGGAAGTTGCCCAAGAAGGAGCTGCCAATGTCTGGGGCTTTCAGGAAGATGGGTATGTCAATCCCAGAAAAATGTCAATAGACATCAAATTGTATCTATTCCATCTAAAAGTCGGAAAATACATCCATGAAGCAACACAGAGCCTAGTTTGCGGTGGGTCAAATTGGGCTTTTTGTTAGGCGTATGGCAACCTGTATCTTTGTTCCTTTGCCCAGTTGCCCAATCCCCTGTGCCTGATGCCAAATAAAAAGCGGTGCTAGTGCAGTGTATTTTGGACGATATACTGCCATCGCAGGCCATCGCATATACAGTGTATGTGAACCCAGCTCTCAACCAGTAGCTTTGGGTTAGGCGGAACTTGGCCGCACTGCTTGAGGAGAAGCTAATGACACTGCTGGAGAGCTATTTAGGCTCCATACCCAATCAGATGCTCGGCTTTCTGTCAAAGTTGATGGGTGTCCTGTTTTGCTGATGTCATTGTGTTGTGTCTTTTCCAAAATGTTCAAAATCCTTGACTCATTGCCATAAATGAATGAAATTCCTACTGCACTCAGTATTGTTTTTTGATGCTCTTTGATAATTATAGTTCTCGGTGATGGCGAATTCATGTATACCTTGTAATAGGAGCCGGATTGCCCTGCTTTCAGCATCTTTGACCAACCCTTTTTCACTTCCACAATGCTTGTGTGGCGCTTTCTGTGGTTTGAAGCAAACGGCTTTGATCCATCGCAACATATTGCAACAGTTTCTATGTGGATTCAGGTCCTGGTGTTTTGGTAGCAGTAAACCACCCCTGTTGTTTGTCTAGATCTGCATCTTGTTTGTTATTCCAAGCATGTTGTTTGGTCAAGTCCCCAATTCTGACGGAATTCCAGTTTCTTCATGAAAAAACATATGTCCCAGTGGGTAAATTGATAGAAATTGGATGATGAAGTTCCCAAGATTTGAACAGTGTTCAAAAACCCCGTGGGTTGATGATTGGTTCGGGGATTATACTGCCCAATATATTGGGGATTATGGGGATTAGAATAATCCAACTCATGCTCTCTCAGGGGCGGTGAAAATGAACGAGTCAACGACTTGACGATGCGTGAAGCTGTGACCCCTTTGGACCGGCTGGACGTTTTTTTCAGCAATGCTGGGGAGTTTACCAACGGAAACAGCAGTGAAAACTGAGATTTAATCCACGCAAAGGCAGCTTTCAGAAACACAATTGAAGATTTGACCAAGCAGAATCGGGATTCAACGAGCAAACCATGTGAATGAAACCAAACACAAAACGGAATCTTGTAGAGATTCAACCAGCAAGAACGGAATTTTAACTAGCACACGATGTGAATCAATAGGCACCAAAAGCGCCCGGGGATGCATGTCAGCGAATGATATGGTTGGTGCTGTCACTGTTTGTTTTTTTCCAATTCTCAAGAAAGATGATGATGATGATGATGATGATGATGATGATGGTGATGATGATGATGGTGATGATGATGATGATGGTGATGGTGATGATGATGGTGATGATGATGGTGGTGGTGGTGGTGGTGGTGATGGTGATTGATGATGGTGATTGATGATTGATGATGATGATGATGATGATGATGATGGTGATGATGGTGATGATGATGATGGTGATGGTGATTGATGATGATGATTGATGATGGTGATTGATGATGATTATGATGATTATGATGATTATGATGCTGATGCTGATGAGGATGAGGATGAGGATGAGTATGATGATGAGGATGAGGATGATGATGGTGATGATGATTGATGATGATGATGATGATGATGATGATGGTGATGATGGTGGTGATGGTGATGATGATTGATGATGATTGATGATGATGATTTATGATTGTAATTGATGATGATTTTGATGATGATTATGATGATGATTATGATGATGATGATGATGAGGAGGAGGATGAGGAGGAATATGGGTGATGGAGGATGATGGTGATGATGATGGTGATGATGAGGATGAGGTTGAGGATGATGATGATGATGATGATGATGAGGATGAGGATGAGGATGGTGATGATGATCATGGTGATGATGCTGATGCTGATGCTGATGATGTGAAATTTGACTGATACTTTACGTGTTCTTATCATTACTTGTCGATGAGAAACGTATGACGCCACTTGGTATGGGGAACACATGGTAACACACTCATTTCTCCACAGAATACAGTCTATTAGAAAGCACCGATCACCAGGTTTTCCCATGTTTTCAAACAAATACACCAAACACATCGGTGGATCACGGCTTTTTGACGCGATTGTCCGCATCGGTCATCTCGACCTTCCAACCTTTCACGGTGAGGACGTTCATTTTCCGCAAAAAAACCTCTGGGAAGATGTGCATCTTCGAATGGTAGAACCAAAGGCTGCGCCAAAACCAGGGAACTTTTGGAGGGAGAAAAACAATGAAAAACAGATGTGGCCATGTGAAAATGAATTTTAACACGCTGATATGTAAATATACGTTAATATACGTATTATTAATATATTAACATACCACTAGTAAATTGTGTGTAATGTCATTACCCAAGTTGTACATTTTGAGCAAGATACGTCCCCAATGAACCGTGGATGGGTTATTATCTATTGACACTCCCAACATACTGTATGATCTTATAAACCGTCATTCAAAACCACGTTCATATAGAGCATCTTCCAAAAACCATGATTCAGTGATGTTGGTACCTAGTCATTTCCAATTTTCAGGATTTGGTGTTGTTTTTGCCGACCCTTCGTTTTACGTTTTTTGAAACATATGTTTGCTTTATGCATCGGTCCACTTAAGATACCATCTGACCCATTGACCCAGGATACCGCCAACCGTCTCTTTCATTCCTTCTCTAGAGGGCAATAATATGTTTATTTGAAGTTTGGATCATTTTGGACTGAAACCAAGTAGGTGGAAAATGGAATGTTAGGGTGACACACCTACACAGTCCATTGACCATTAAATTGGTCTCGCGCACGCTGTATCCCATGATGGTTATGAACTTAGAAGCAGGCAACCCCAACTTCAGTTGGATTTTGTCCGTATGTTTCCCTTATTTGGATACATGACATAGTAGATATGCAGGTTTCCTAAAATGGGGGTACGATCATTTTAATAGGATGTTCCACGATAAACTATCCATTCTTGGGAACCCCCCATATATATCCATATATCAGTTGCTATCCCCAGGCCTAACCAGGACCAGGACCAAGACCAGGTCGCAAGATGTCGCAAGTGTTTCCTGCCAGCTCTGCCCTACATCTTTGACAACCTCTCTATCCCCAGTCCCTTCATGTGGAATTCGTTTTGGGTCCCAGCCCATGCACTAAGTGGCAAAACCCCAATGCTTGCGATTGTTCAATGCAATTAAAAAAAAGAAACAAACTGAAGAAACACGACATGTGAATGTCAAATGAAAATCCTATCTGAATCGAATCCGAATTGCTCAACACCCCCATGGTTTTATCATATGCTCAGTCCCAAACCCACTTGGGAAATCGTGGGAATCTGGTGTCAGGGAAGCACGGTGCTGAGTTTTCCATTGCAGTTGTCCTCCAGCAGTTCAGTTTCCTCGCTGGAGAAATGCGCTGAAGAGCTGAGGGAGATCATGCAGCTGCAGCGCCCTGGCATGGGACGGGTGAATCCACCAACCATATTTGCTGGGGTTTCACGAAGAAAAATGGTGTTATCATGCGGATAATATAATGGAATACAACAGATACATGTGATATTTGGATCATTTTTTTGTTTCTGATGTTGGCTGTTGGTTGAATTTTGGGACAAGCGTTGGGTCGGAACTCCCATCATAATGGCGTGCTGGAACATCCGAGGCTGCTCGTCCGATTGTTGGAGACTCGCCTGGTGGAAGTCTTGCGCTTTCAACGGGGCCAGGTGCGCCAGCACCCAGCAGCTGTGACATGTGTTTGGTGCGGGTCTCCCAACAAAAACCTTGATTTCTCCAGCAAAATGTGAGATTTCACCAGCAAAAATGATGATCGGATGTATTATCTCCTGTGATGAGTAGTGGAATGATATGGTGGTGTGAAACAATCTATTTTGTGATTATATTTTGTTGGATCGAATCATAGTGGTATATGTTTATAAACAACAGTCAATATACTATGACAAAATTTTGTCATAGTATATTGACTGTTGTTTACAACTATATAAATATATATATATATATATATATATTATATATATTTATGCCACTATGATTTAAAAGTGATTGTCCAAAAATAGGAAATGCGTCCAATGTCCATGGCCATTTCGATGGGAGAGAACTGCGGGTAGACTATTGGATCTTTGTACCCCATAGACAAACCCAGGCGTGCCGCTGCGGCCCGAATCGGATAGAAACTGCTTTATATTGTTAAAGGACTTCCCCAAAGAATAACATTATTATAAACTTATTGGGGAAGTTTATAGTATAACTTATAACATTTATAACAAATGGAAATAACTTTAAACCATTATTCATGTTCTGAGATTTTCTTGAAGAAGTACTAAGATTATAAATTGTTATAATGCATCATATAATTCAGCGAGATGTACGACTTAGATTTTTCGGTGTTCCCATGATCTGAGAGTGAAATGCTGGGGCCCAAAGGGACCATGGGCATTTGGGATGTGGATTGGTCAAGGCACTTGTACTAGTGGTTCAATGGACATCAATGGACCCACAAAATTGGGGCACCACATGCATGATTCAACCATGCATTTGGGGGTTGATAGCTTTGACCCATATACAGTAATACAGTGCTAACCTATGATGCAAGAAATTGCCATCCAATGTCAACCAGAATTCAGTTGATCCCACCCTGGAGTAAAATCCCAGTGGCTTGAGGATCAAATTGCAGGAATCTGCGATATTTTGAGGCTGAAACCTTTGACCCCTATAGTTTCTTGTATTTGTTTCTCAAATCAACCTATGGATACACCATCCTCACCAGGTGTATTCCGTGGCGGTGGGAACTGACATGGGCCTGTCGCCGCCGAAGATGGGCATGGCGCGGAAGGGTAGTCTTAGTGCCATGGCGCGGAATTTCTGGGAGGTCCTAGGAGTTCCCCTCTGGATATCATGTTTATGATAGGTAAATTGAAAAATCATCATGTTTATCACACATTCAATAGAAGCCCCATAGGGAAAATTGTTGTTATGAACTGGAAAATCACCATTTTTAATAGGTAAACCATCATGTTTATCATCTATAAATGGGCCATTTTCCATAGCTATGTCAAAGAACCAGAGGGTAACGCCTCCAATGGTCATCCATGGAATGGAATGGGGTAGCCTATTTCATGATCTGAGTGGTACACCTGATATTATAAACACCCGTTTTGGCCCGTTTTGGGTATGTTTTTTTCGAATCAGAGGTAACTTTGTGTGTATAAATTATGGGGATCTATGTTTTTTGTTTACCGCATTTCCATAGTAGGATACATGCTCTACCTAGATAAAACATGGCTAGAAATCCCATCCAAAATATCAAACCCAAGAACCCTGACACCCTGACGTCTAAACCTTAAACACCCACGAACACTCAAAACCCTAAATCCCGCCGACAAAATTGCACAAACTTGCTGCGTATGTGTTTTCGTTTATCCTTTGGTGACAAGGACATTATTATCTGAGTTCTTTGGAGGTGGTTGAACTGTACAGCGATGTGATGTCCACCCTGATAGAACCGGTTTGTACCAGGAGTCTACAATTGCCATGGAAACATGCTGAGTCACTGCACGTTTGCATCTACAGCAAAGTTGAATTCACGTCAATTGCAATATATTGCAATATGAATCAGGTATGTTCGTATTTTCTTACTCTACATATGCGAATGCATATGCTGCATCATGATAACATGTCGCAAGTGTCAAAACTTGAGATCCAGAGTAGCAACGACAGATTTCCAACGCAACGTCCGTTTGAGGTGTCCGATTCGAATGCGACCCAGCAGAATCAGATGAATTGGTAGCTGCGACGCGTGAAGTCCCTTGGCAACCTGTGGTATCCCTTGGGATCCCTTGGGATCCCTTGGGATCCCTTGGTGCTTGTGAGGCAACCTGGAGTCCTTCCATTGAGAAAGTTAGTTGTTGTTACTGGTCTTCTGAGGATCTATAGGTACTTTATGGTACTTTGATTCATTTTGATTCGCAAGGCTGATTGACCAACGAAAATTCTTCCAGTGGATTCCAATGATTTGTTGATGGTACTTTACAAGAAGAGTACAAGAAATTGGCCTGACTTGTTAGGTGCACTACGGTTACGCGCCAACTTTTGGAATTGCTCCCAAAGTCCATCGAAATCTAGTTCACTATGCGGTATAGAAAATGCAATAGCAAGGTTAAAAGAACACAACAAGCAAAAACATTAAAAACACACGATGAGGCATTATTCCATGATGAGTCTACAATCATCTATAATCATCCATGTATGTAATATTGGTCTGTGGTTTCATGCATTGGGCGACTCAACCACCAGATGTCGATGGCTTTCCCAATCCCGGTCCGGACGGGGATGTTTCAATGATACAAACCCAACTTGGAGATCTCCAAAACTTGGCGTTGGGGCCCATAGATGTTCATCGATTTTACAAGTCATGTTCCATGATTCGTATCCATCTTAAAAGTTTTGTTCCACAACTCTAGTCATTTTTGTTGACATCAGAAATCATCTTCCATGATGGCTTATGTTCAAATGTGTATGGATTCATTAAAATCCTATAACACTAATATTTAGTTCGGACGAACACGACATATCCATATGATTCTTCCCAGCTATTTTGATGTGAACATATATGAACTACAGGGGGATTCCATGGTTTTAGACTCATGTTGACTCAAAACCCATGGTTTTTCCCAGTTTTTTCCCGTCCAAACCATTCCAAAGCCTCTCAGGAGCTGCAGCGTCTGCGGGACGGTCGCGCCGCCTTCACCAAGGAGAATGTCTCGGCGGCGGTGGAGCAGGACGGCCCTTTTTGGGGAAGCCATGGGCTACGCGGCTACCCCAAAGTTGATGGTTGTTGATGATCAACTTACCATGGTTTGAAAAATAGTTGAGTTACTGGTTAACTATCATTTAACTATATTTTTTTTGGTGTTTAAAGTGTAGTTCGCAAACGTCCGAGTTACGGATGTCGATGGTGAGTCTTGTCATGTCAACAGAGGTAGCAACAGCAGTTGGCAAGTGGGAGCAGTAGATGACAGTAACAGGTCGGGAACGTTTGTGCTCGCCGGTGAGACCATGGAAGGGCGCGAATGCATGTCTTTTACAGGTATGGTGGCTCCATGTGGCTCCTGGGCTTGCCAAGGGAGATTTTGGGCTGCCACGTTGGATTATGTGATATAATATATATATATATATTTATTTATTTATTATATATACACAATGTGGTAAAGCATGGTAAAACCATGGCAAAACCAATAGTAAATCATCCCATTTGCCAAGGCCATCCCAAAGCCGGGTCGGCCCGACATGGTAATCCGACATGGCTTGCTGGAAAATCCACCATCCACCAGCGATGGCAACTCCGGCGTGGCCATGTGGCCATGTCCAAAGGACCGCCGAGAGTTTGAGGAATTGATCCACACCAACAGTGTCATGGCGACTTATTAGTGTGTGTTTTTCCTTCGACTGGTGAATGGAAGGTCTGTGGGTGACAGTTGTGCCGTCCAGAAACGTATTCCAAAATGATAGTTCAATAGAGGAGAATCTCAGATATCCCGCTAGCCTGCTTTAACAACCGTTTTTTTTTGAGAGTATCCAGGGTCAGCCGTGGGTTGGCAGACAAGAAGGATGTGATAGAGGCCACAATTGAAATTTGAGACTGACCCATAGGTTGACTGGTCGGGTTGACTGGTCGGTGCCGAAACATACAGCATCGGGTGACCATGGTGGCGCAAAGTTGAAGGAATACTTTACCTTTACAACAACATTTTCCGACACCTAACAATGTGGAGGTTGCTGTCTACGTGGGAAAGACACAAAGATGTGAAAAGGATCATGTCAACCATATCCTCACAGATTAGACAAAAGTTTGATGTGAACGCAATTGGCAATCCTTATGGGGCAGCTGGGTTGAAATCAGGGTCCCAATTCTGGGAAACATGACCCAGATCCAATCACTAAACTCGACCAGCGGTTGAAACCTCCAATGATGGTTGCTGTTGAGATTGGATTGGTTCGGGATATGTCCCTATTGCAGTTTGCTATTGGGTTTGTGAGGATTTATGAGTCTTCATTGGGATTCATTATTCACGTTTATTCTGATATACAAGACCTCCAACGTCAGGGTTTGTTTACAAAGATAACACATGCTTACACTACTACTGTTTTTGAAGAGTCGGTCATGACTTCAGCAACTGCATGATACCCGAGGGACATCATGGGTCTCCGGAGTAGTTAGTTGACGATGAAAATGATCACACTGTTTGAGTTGAAAAGCCAACAGCAATTTGCAAAGCCATTTCAAACTAGATTTGCTTGCAATATTTGACCATCCATGTATGGTAGGACACTTATATAATAATTGTTTACCTGTTTTTAGAAGCCGCTTGTGGAGTACAACAATAGAAATCTATTTCTATTCTTTTTCGTCAATTCTCAAAAGTTTTCGGCAATTCTTCAATTCTTTTCTGGCAATTCTTTTCATATTCTTCTATTTTTGGACAATTCTTTGGAATTGACAGAAGAATTGGAAAGAATTGCAAGAAAAAATGGAAAGAATTGAAAAGGCTTGAAAAGAATTGAAAAGAATTGTAAGAAAAAATGGAAAGAATTGAAAAGAATTGAAAAAATGAAAAGGATTGAAAAGAATTGTAAGAAAAAAATGAAAAGAATTGTAAGAAAACATGGAAAGAATTGAAAAGAATTGTAAGAACACATGAAAAGAATTGGAAAGAAACGTAAAGAATTGTAAAGAGTAAGTATATTTAATATTGTTTTTAATTAAGGTAATGAAAACCATTATAATTATCTTCAATTCTTGACATATTGCCGGGGACATACGTTAGAGGCCTTCTAAAAACAGCCAAATAATTGTTGTCATGTTCGGAAATCAGCACCATAGATACTGAACACAGGGAATGCAGCAACCGGCTTGGACTCTGGAGTGAACTTTCCATCTGTTTCGAATTTCTATCCGTTTACATTCGAGGTTGGTGGGCCGGAACGACTTTGGACCTGTACTTTTCGCGCTGCTTCGTTGCTCAACCTGATGTGGGAAGCATCATGTCTTTGTGGTGGACGGCGCGGAAGGACCAGCCAAAAGTCAGAGTTGGTTTACCAGCTGTTTTTTGGGGATGAATCCAAAAGTGATGGACATTCCTGGCCCATCCTGGCCCTAAGATTTTCAGATTTCACAGTGAAGGTGAATGAACTGAAGGGGCTCCCAACCACCAGTTCACCCTAACTTTAGGCTCTGTTTAGAATTGTCCTTAAGGGAACATGTATTTTTTATTTAAGTGATTATTTACATGGACATGATAGAGAAAACAAGATGTACTGTATGTCAGTATGTCCATTGAATCTGAGTGACATCTGTTGGTGGCGTACCGTCCTGTTTTCACATTTAATAAAAACGACTGAACATTGATCGAGCTGGTTTGCATGTTAAATCAAGATGGGTCTGGATATGCCTGGATCAACTCATGGTATCCGGGTGAACTGATCCATACCCAGTCGAAAGGGTTCCTATGTATTGATGCCTCTTAATTCCCACCAAACCACAAAGTCACTATATAATACCGCTACATACCGCTACTATTTCATACTCATTAGATATTGTATATATATATATATATGTACATATAGACATATATATATATACACATAATATATAATATATATAATACATATATGTATATACCGTTAAAATGAAAGTTAGAATGCCTCCGCGAATTCCAAATATTCCTCCCCCTCAGTTAGAATGCGGCCCGCGCACGGCAAAAAATTTCTTCAGTTAGAATGCCTCCCCACCCGGGTTTTAAGTTTTTTTGTTTTTGGAGAACCCTTTGCACAAATCCCTCACTTAGAATGCCTCCGCACTATGAATATCATCAGATGTTAGAATGCAGTTGGAATGCTTCCCCCTTGAAATTGCTTTCTACCAGTATTTCAGCAATTAGAACGCTTCCCCCTTGAAATTGCTTTGCCAGCATTTCAGCAGTTAGAATGTTTCGCCCTTGAAATGGCTTTTTGCCAGAATTTCATCAGTTAGAACGCTTCCCCCTTGAAGTTGCTTTTACACAAGCATTTCAGCAGTTAGAATGTTTCTCCCTTAAAATGGTTTTTCTACCAGCATTTCAGCAATTAGAATGCTTTTCTTGAAATTGTTTTTTACCAGTATTTCAGCAGATAGAATGCTTCCCCCCTTGAATAGCTTTTTACCAGCATTTCATCAGTTAGAATGCTTCCGCCTTGAAACGGCTTTTTACCAGCTTTTCAGCAGTTAGAATGCTTTCCCTTTGAAATTGCTTTTTACAAGCATTTCAGCAGTTGGAATGCTTTCCCCTTGAAATTGCTTTCTACCAGCATTTCTGCAATTAGAACGCTTCCTCCTTGAAGTTGCTTTTGCCAGCATTTCAGCAGTTGGAATGCTTCCCAGCATTTCAGCAATTAGAATGCTTCCCCCTTGAAATTGTTTTTTTACCAGCATTTCAGCAATTAGAATGCTTTTCTTGAAAATGTTTTTTTACCAGTATTTCAGCAGTTGGAATGCTTCCCCCCTTGAAATGGCTTTTTACCAGCATTTCATCAGTTAGAATGCTTCCCCCTTGAAATTGCTTTTTACCAGCCTTTCAGCAGTTCGAATGCTTCCGCCCTTGAAATGGTTTTTTACCAGCATTTCATCAGTTAGAAAGCTTCCCCCTTGATTTTTTTTCAACCACCTTTTCAGCAGTTAGAATGCTTCCCCGATGAAATTGCTTTTACACAAGCACTTCAGCAGTTAGAATGTTTCCCCCTTGAAATTGCTTTCTACCAGCATTTCAGCAATTAGAACGCTTCCCCCTTGAAATTGCTTTCTACCAGCATTTCAGCAATTAGAACGCTTCCCCCTTGAAATTGCTTTTGCCAGCATTTCAGCAGTTAGAATGCTTCCCCCTTGAAGTTGCTTTTTACACAAGCATTTCATCAGTTAGAATGCTTCCCCCTTGAAATTGTTTTTTACCAGCTTTTCAGCAGTTAGAATGCTTCCGCGTTAAATTGTTTTTTACTAGCATTTCTGCAGTTAGAATGTTTCTCCCTTCAAATTGTTTTTCTACCAGCATTTCAGCAATTAGAATGTTTTTCTTGAAATTATTTTTTACCAGTATTTCAGCAGTTAGAATGCTTCCCCCCTTGAAGAGCATTTTACCAGCATTTCATCAGTTAGAATGCTTCCCCCTTGAAACGGTTTTCTACCAGTTTTTCAGCAGTTAGAATGCTTTCCCTTCGAAATTGTTTTTTACAAGCATTTCAGCAGTTAGGATGCTTCACCCTTGAAATTGCTTTCTACCAGCATTTCAGCAATTAGAACGCTTCCCCCTTGAAATTGCTTTTGCCAGCATTTCAGCAGTTAGAATGCTTCCCAGCATTTCAGCAGTTGGAATGCTTCCCCCTTGAAGTTGCTTTTTACGCAAGCATTTCATCAGTTAGAATGCTTCCCCCTTGAAATTGTTCTTTACCAGCATTTCAGCAGTTAGAATGTTTCCCCCTTGAAATTGTTTTTTACCAGTTTTTCAGCAGTTAGAATGCCTCCGCGTTAAATTGTTTTTTACCAGCATTTCAGCAGTTAGAATGCTTTCCCCCTTGAAAAGTTTTTTTACCAGGATTTCATCAGTTAGAATGCGTCCCCCTTGAAATTGTTTTCACCAACTTTTAAGCAGTTAGAATGTTTCTCCCTTGAAATTGTTTTTCTACCAGCATTTCAGCAATTAGAGTGCTTCCCCCTTGATTTTTTTTTTTTTACCAGCCTTTCAGCAGTTTGAATGCTTCCCCCTTCAAGTTGTTTTTTACACAAACATTCAGCAGTTGGAATGCTTCCCCCTTGAAATTGTCTTCTACCAGCATTTCCGCAAATAGAACGGTTCCCTTTGAAATTGTTTTTACCAGCATTTCAACAGTTAGAATGCTTTCCCCTTCAAGTTGTACAGATATGTGCAAAAACGCGTGTGTAAATAATATTTATATATATATATATGTTTAATCCCGATGGGATACATAGAATACAAAATCGATAATTTCGGCCTCAAAAACATCTCCCGGAATCGGTAAAAAAAACCCTATACATAGAATAAAAACATCTTCCGGAATCGGAAAAAAAACAACATATACATAGAATATGTCCGGCTATCCATTTTGATCCAGGAAAATAAATCTTTTCAGGTTTTTGACAGAAGCATGGATTGCTGCAGCCGCCTGTGAAGGGACAACTGCGATTTCAGTATGGAAACTGTGTTGCAACGCGTTTTGCTGGGGCAATCGCGGGGTGAACTATGAAAAAAAAACATATTTTGCAATGAAAACAAATGGAATTGGGTGGTGTTCCTCAAAAAATTGATGAATATTTTCACTGGGGACCTAAATTCTATGTAAGTAATTCTTCAAGGAATTGGGTCTCTTCCATGTATAAGGGTAAATATCATATACGTAATTCCCTTGGGCGAGTAGCAACCCTGGATGTCTGAAGTTCCTAAACTAGAACGTTTCAAAAAAAAAATCAGATCCCCCGAAATGATCAATTTCTTTTTATATTGCATTTAAAAAAATGAGTTTTTCAGGCTCACCGAAGGGTACCACCCCACGACCGGTGTCGTAGAACTATGAAAAAAACTATTTTGCAATGAAAACCAATGGAATTGGGTGGTGTTCCCCAAAAAAATTATGAATATTTTCACTGAGGACCTATATTCTATGTATGTAATTCTTCAAGGAATTGGGTCTCTTCCATGTATAAGGGTAAATATCATATACGTAATTCTGTTTGGGGAGTAGCAACCCTGGATGTCTGAAGTTCCTAAACTACACTGACCTAAAAGTAGATGGCTCAACTCAAAAACCAAAATGCCCACAAGATGGCACCGCGCGGTGAGAAAGAAAACGGCGCTATTTTAGCTGGAACATAAAACGAGCTCCGCCAATTCCCAAGACAGGAGGCAAAACCACCAGGAAAGACATCAGAGTTATCCCAAGACAGGATGCAAAACCACAAGGAAAGACATCAGAGTTTTCCCAAGACAGGAGGCAAACCCACCAGGAAAGACATCAGAGTTATCCCAAGACAGGAGGCAAAACCACCAGGAAAGACATCAGAGTTATCCCAAGACAGGAGGCAAACCCACCAGCAAAGACATCAGAGTTTCCCAAGACAGGAGGCAAAACCAACAGCAAAGACATCAGAGTTATCCCAAGACAGGAGGCAAAACCACCAGCAAAGACATCAGAGTTATCCCAAGACAGGAGGCAAAACCACCAGGAAAGACATCAGAGTTATCCCAAGACTGGAGGCAAAACCACCAGGAAAGACATCAGAGTTACCCCAAGACAGGAGGCAAAACCACCAGGAAGGACATCAGAGTTACCCCAGACAGGAGGCAAAACCACCAGGAAAGACATCAGAGTTTTCACAAGACAGGAGGCAAAACCATCAGGAAAGACATCAGAGTTATCCCAAGACAGGAGGCAAAACCACCAGGAAAGACATCAGAGTTTTCACAAGACAGGAGGCAAAACCATCAGGAAGGACATCAGAGTTATCCCAAGACAGGAGGCAAAACCACCAGGACTCAGGCGATAGGTCCCCACAAAGAGTGTTTGAGGACCTATCGTTGTAGTACCCCGGCTTTCTTTTTTCGTTGTTTTTGGCCAACATATGTTGAAAAATAACATTTCTATCAAAATATATCGTGTCTAACCCTAAACCCTACATCCGTTAGAAAAAAGATGAAAAAATAAGAAACATATCTGCCAACAACGGGGGGTTCACGGTATGTAAATATTATACATCTAAAAATAATCAGAATGCATATATTGAAATTGTAAAATTGCGCCATCTATGTGGAGATGCGCCATCTGTGTGGCATATTTTGGTTAGGTTGGTTTATGGATGTCAGGATGTGAGGGAGTTGCGCCATCTATGTGGCATATTTTGGCTATAGGTTGGTTATGGATGTCTCTATGTGGGCATTCCCAGCCTGATTTTGGCGAATGGGTGGGAGTTGCGCCATCTATGTCCCAAAAAAGAAGCTTGATGTTGAGAAAAAAACATATGGGGGAAA